TCTGTACATTCATTGCCCTCATCATTCTCAAAACATTTGCTCTCCACTTAAGCCCCTGGCATCAGATCCTCATTATATTTCTTTTTTTCTTTTTTCTTTTTTAACATTTTATTAGGGGCTCATACAACTGTTATCCCAATTATTTTTTTAATTTTATAGCTAATTTGTATGCTATTGTGTAAATCTAAATATCACTTTTCATATATACAAATACATGTTACAATAAATTACTTCAGTTAAGTGAATTGTCTTTAACATTCAAATATGTAAACCTGAGTGAATTTTATAAAATAACTTTACTACAAGTAGAACAATTCTAAAAGAGAGATAATAAAATATGAGATTAACAAAAATTACATCTTAATACACTAAATAAGGTATTAATGATTCTAAAAATTAAACATTTGAAGGTTGAAAGTTCTGAATCTAGTGTCTAGTTTATTCTTGACTGTGCAAAATGTCCCTATTGTCCTAGTTTGAGGGAAATAATAATGTACTTTTAAAATATATGAAGATCTCTACACACACAAAGACACACACACACAAAGACACACACAGCGGTGTACATACACACACTTAACTTTTAGCCTGTTTCTGGAACCTAGTCTACGTGAATTTAACTTAATTGTTAATTCCACAGTCATCTTTACCATAACCATTTAAGCAAAATAGCCTTGGATTAGATGACAATGTTTTAAAGTAATTTATTTACAAATGGATTAATTTTTTCCATATGCTGTCAAAAGAAAATAAAAGACAAGTCAAAAAACCCAAGTATAACAACTTTAAATCATATTGGCATTGTGCTACTTTAAAAACCCCAAACTCACTGTCATTTACTCACTGCTGACTCTGCCACCCCAGTGGGTTTCCGAAACGGTAACTGTTTCCCCGAGTAGAAAGCCCAGTCTTCCGTGGCACACGGGTCACAGCTCAGCATACCACGCTCCCTCTCTATTTCAAAGTCCCCGCAAGAAAACATGAGTTGCTTTATCTACTTACCTCCTTCTTTTTCTATATTGTAGTAAAAGATTTAAGGCAAACTAAAGAAAGCCTAAAGCACTTTACATCTGGTCTTACCCACTCTAAGCTGCGGAGTAGATCCCCATCTCCCTGTGAGTTTGACACTAGAGCAGAAGTACTCTATTAATGGGGGAAATCTACGCAACAAAGAAACATAAAATAACTCTCTCAGGAGATTCTCATTCCCAACATCATGAATTATTTCCCACCCTCAACACATATGTAATTCCTATTGACTTGAAAGGATTTCTGAATGGCAAGTAAGAGACAATAAAGAGACATCAGTCCCAAAATTTTTGCAAAGATTAAAAGTAAATGTTGATGTAGAGTGTGGTGCCCAGCACCACTCTAATTCCTCAGAGAAATTTAACAGAGGATTGACAAGGGGTACGCAAGTAAGAAACTGAAGATCTTACAACATGAAAAACTAAGCTAGCAGACTGAAACAGTGGGAAAAGGTATGTAAGAAAGAATAGAGGCATACGAGAAAACGTGCTAAACTCAATTAAGTACACTCACTGTCACTGAGTCCATTCTGACTCATAGCAACCCCACAGGACCGGGCGAACTGCACCCTTTGGATTTCCAAGATTGTTCTACAACGGCGTAGAGCGCGTCACTCTGCTCCCAGAGCGACTGGTGGTTTGGAAGGCACCCCACCACCAGGGCCCCTGCACTAAGTAACTGGCACCTTCTAAGTGTCATCTCGGCTACTGCACCTAGGCAGGGCTTCCAGGAGGCAATCTTACTTTTTTTCATTCAGAAAATCTGAAAGAAGAGGGTAAATTGGATAAACGCTTCTTCAACTTTAATTATCAAAAGAACCACCTGGAGAGAGAATCAACAGGCAGGTCTGGTCCATTTCTAGGAAGATGTTGCTTCAACTGATGCTCGGCCAGTCTCCCGTGCACCACTCTATGAATAGGAAGAAATGATTGATCCCTAATGTTTTTCTTAAGCTTATAAAGACATTTATTCCTTGCAACATGCCGGCGCAGAGTAGGGAACCAGTGGAGAGGTGTGGGGGGCTGGCCCCAGCAGTCCCAAATACTAAGTGGATGCGTGCCCCTCCCCCGAGAAGAATTTATTTCAAAGGATGGCACTGAATCCACAGCTCCTGGAGAGGGACATATCTGATCGGAGCACACAGGAGCAGATGACGGGGGACGATGACACACGACTGGAGCACATCCTGGCCCACCAGGCCTTGAGGATAATGACCCCAATTAGAGCAGCCAATCCACAGAGAGGACCACATGGCCAGCCCCACTATGAGAC